AAATTTTATTTTTAAAATTTGATAAACTTACCAAACACACCAGTTTTCCACATTAAGAACCAAACAGTGAAGTTCTGATCTTGGCGTTTCATAGTGTTTTAAAGCATGCTGCTCTTGAGAATTTCTGCCACAACCCTGTAATATAATATCACAAGTATGGGACTTTAGCAATCACATACAATGTAAAGTATTTGTTAAGGGGAAACAAAAATATTTTTACTTTACAGTTAAAAATGACAATTGAAGTGCATAGTTATTATTTACATGCAGTTCTTGACAGATTCAAAATTAATTAATTAAAAGCCTGTATGACAAGTTTGGACATATTAATATGTCCTATAAAGAGATTGATTTGTTAGACCTGCTATTAGCTGGATGAGGACAATTCCACAATAACTTGTGATTGTGATTCTATCAACATTCTCCAAGCAGTTGCTTGAGCATTTGAAAATGCCTCTAGAACATCTTGCTCCCCAGTGTGAGGTTGGCCCCAACCCTCCTGACTTTCTGTAAGAGCCTAAAGACCTGGCTCTGCCAGCTATCTTGTGGCTCCAATGGGGGAACAACACAGCGGAGGTGGTTGATTGACTAACAACAGATCCCACCTTCCCCACAGCCAAATGTCTCTCCCCATCTTTAACTGGATCATAATGTTTGGCTTATTTTAATTTATTTGTGTGTGTGTGTGTGTGTGTGTGTGTGTGTGTGTGTGTGTGTGTATGTGTGATTGTAAGCTGCCTAGAGTTATCCTGTGGTAAGATGGGCTGCCTGTAAATTTCATAAATAAATGGCAATTCACTCTTACAACGTAGAGAAAGGATGCACTCTCACAACAAAATTTTTAAGCTAGCAATTTCAACAGTAAGAAATGGACGTTACAGGGAACTACTGAATTTGAAGCAACAAGATCTGGAAGGCCATGAACAATCTCTGTTAGAGATTCCCAAAATGTAAGTGTTGCAAACAGCAGCTAAGATTATTGCTGAAGGTGAGCCGATTATGAGCCGAGGTGGCGCAGCAGTTAGAGTGCAGTACTGCAGGCCACTTTAGCTGACTGTGTTCAGCAGGTCAGCGGTTCAAATCTCACCGGCTCAAGGTTGACTCAGCCTTCCATCCTTCCGAGGTAGGTAAAATGAGGACCCAGATTGTTGGGGGCAATGTAAATATATATATACATTGTTTACTGGTGTACACCGCTTAGAGCAGTGGTTCTCAACCTTTCTAATGCCGCGACCCCATAATACAGTTCCCCATGTTGTGGTGACCCCCAACCACTTATACATCACCGGGTGCCAGGGGCATGGCCAAAGAAAAGGGGAAAAAAATGGCGGACAGCCTTGTTTGGCGACCCCCGTGAAATAGTCGTTCGACCCCAAATGGGGTCCCGACCCACAGGTTGAGAACCACTGGCTTAGAGAGTGCTTGCACTTAAAGCGGTATATAAGTCTCATAAATAAATAATTAAAAGTACAAGTTAGATATTTTAGTAAGATGGTAATTTTATTGAATAATTCTGAATCAACCATGAAGTACTTACTTACAAGAAATATATTTTAAAAAGGGGGGAGGGGGTTCTAGAATGGCCATCAAAATCCGCCGACTTGAAAATGATTGACCATCAGGGGGAATACTCAGACATGCAGTTTCAAAAGAAAGCCTAATATTTCTGAGCTAGAAAAGTTTTATAAAGAACTGTGTAAACAAAATTATAAGCGAAAGACATTTGGACAGCTATAGGAAACATTCAGAAATAATTGTATCTGCCTTAAGAGGTGTCATAAAGTACTGACTGAAAGAGTGTTCAAAATTATGCATCTGTTCATATACTGTTTTCTTCTTTTGAATCTGGAAACAATTGTGCATTCAAATTTATAGAAAAAAGCTATGCTTAAATTTTCTATCATGTAGAGGATGTCTTGTGATGCTGGGATGAGATTGTGTGCCACAAAAAGATTTGGTTCTATTATTTTCCTCCACAAGAATAAATTTAAAACGTCTGCAATATATTTTCCTTAGTAATAGTAACTGGGACATACCCTATGGCCACATTTTAAACATAACCATATTGATGGTTTGTCTTCTGCCCTCTTATCAGATTTTTCATCTGTCTTATTGTCATCTATCCGGCAATCCTGGCAGGAATTCAAGTCCACAGTCTGCAATGTTTTTTTCAGAAGACCTTGTTCCAATCCTTTGCGAAGGTGCTTGCATGTTGGTCCTATGAGAAATTTTACATAGAATAAGAATCAACATTAAAGGGGCTTTAAATATATATTATTTAGAGTCCATAAGACATGGCCAAAGATCAGCTGGCTGTCAGTAACAAGCTTCTAAGAAACTGACTGCCCTACACAGAGAGAGAGAGGAGGGGGAGAGAGGGAGGGAGAGGGAATAACCAATCCCCTTCAGAAATCTGCTCCATTCATTGTGATGTGTTTCTCAATGGCTCTTAGCTACAGTACTTATCTGAAAAGTAGCTCCTGGATATTGCTGCCTCTAGGCCATTGTATTTTAATTTGATGCTAATTACCTGAAAACTAGATTACCGAAACATATGGGCTTATGCCTTAAATATGGACTAAGATAAACATGTTTACCCATAAATATTGTTTCACTCTATGGAAGTTGAATCTTAATTGGATAAACATCTTCAAGGTCACATTAAGCATTTTGCTAAGGAGTAAAATCTTACTGTTCTCCATAGCAGTGCAACTTAAACAAATTATCTGTATATGTTATGCATACCCAGAACATCAGGTGAGACATCTGCAGGAATATTTTTTCCTTTTGTGCGCTTCTTTCCCATTATAGCAATATAGGCTTTAATTTCACATCAAACTATAAAAGAAAATAGATTATTTTCCAATAAAATTTTAAAACCTGTAAATAACAATGAATGTATTGTATTATATACGTGAAAGGAGGAAATTTACATTTCTGCTTCCTTTCTATTGTGTTTATTAAAGGAACTAAGCATTTTACATATATCTATACAAAACAATAAAAAGCAGAGACATCACCCTGCCAACAAAAGTGCGTATAGTCCAGGCCATGGTTTTCCCAGTTGCAATGTATAGCTGTGAAAGTTGGACCATAAGAAAGGCTGAGCGGCAAAGAATTGAGGCCTTTGAACTATAGTGCTGGAGAAGACTCCTGCGAGTCCCTTGGACTGCAAGGCATTCAAACCGGTCAGTCCTAGAAGAGATCAACCCCGACTGCTCTTTAGAAGGCCAGATCCTGAAGTTGAAACTCAAATACTTTGGCCACCTAATGAGAAGGAAGGACTCACTGGAGAAGGCCTAATGCTGGGAAAGATTGAGGGCAATAGAAGAAGGGGACGACAGAGAATGAGATGGCTGGATGGAGTCACTGAAGCAGTAGGTGTGAACTTAAATGGACTCCAGAAGATGGTAGAGGACAGGAAGACCTGGAGGAACATTGTCCATGGGGTCGCGATGGGTCGGACACGACTTTGCAATTAACAACAAATACAAAACAAATTGTGACAAACTGCTTTGGAAAATATTCTATTATTTCAATACAGACTCATGGATGTCTTCATAGTAGCTTTTAAATACTAATCTTTGTGATTAAGCAAAGTGAATTTTAAATTCAGCAATAGCAGTTTAAAATATAATTTTGTGTATATTGAATGGGATCAAGCCACAGTCTCAACATATATAATTCAGAGCTAAAGATTGTTTAACACTGAGAAAATTAATAAATCTTATCAATGTATCAAGGGATACACAAATACATTTACAAATATAATTGTACTTCCATAGGGATTTTTCAAGGACAATAAGTCCACCCTGTCCTACTTATGGAATTGTTTTATGAATTTCTTTTTTTCCAGGGAGATTCTTTAATTGAATCTGTTCTTTATTCACCTTTCTTTAATAATCATGTTTTCATAATAACAATCATTTGTAACAGCCTAGAAAATATAATAGCAGTTTCTTTTACTAAAATGAATTTTAGTTTCTGATTAATATCAAGATATGAGCCAAAAGCATTTGACTTAAAACATTTTAAAGTGAAAACATAAAATTAAACACAGCAGTTTTGACATCTCTGTACATACTTTATTTTCCTTATGTTTGCAAAATGGAAAAGTTAAAAACAACCAAAACCCATTCTTCTTAAACGGGAGCAATAGCTCTTTAAATGGGTTAATTTTCTGCGCTTTCAAGAGCAACCTGGCATATTCAATTAATTTCTATATGCCAGGAAAAAGCTAGCATTTGCCCGTTGAGCAATAATTACAAAAGGGCAAGACGAAAATAGTCAATCAGTTTCTAATACTTTAAAGGGCACGTCCAACCAACCTCTCACTTCTTGGACTAACAAGCATATTTACTGAACTGTGGCACTTTCAAATATAATGTCCAGCCTTTTTGCGCAGCAAAAAGGCCGTCCAATTTCCTGGCGGACGTGGGAGTTAGTTGGCAACTTTTCTTTTTCTCAGCCTACACCTGCCGAGAGGACTAACGCCTCAGACAAAGGGAGGAGACGGAGAAACAGCTGGAAATGCCAAATGCCAGCACAAACTCTGGCAGGGAAACACGAATGGCACAGAAACGCTACGGGCGGCCGGCTTCAGCTTTCTGCCCGCACGCGCCGCCGCGTTGTCCCAGGTGAAGCAATCCAGCCGGCCTTTTGATTGGCCACTTCAACTTTTTCGCAGCCCGCCTATTCGGCCCTTACTGACAACAGCCGAAACCAATAGTGAAGCATTTCTTACCTTGGAAGGATTAGAGACAGAAGTTCAAGGGGCCGCTGAGAAAAAGTTCCACGCAGTGACTTGGGAAAAAATCTGCTGTCACCGCGCGTGGGGAAGAAACCTCCCGAATTTAAATATTTTACGACACATGCCTGCGACGCCAGAGGAGATTTACGACTCTCGGGCAATCCTGTTCAATTAGTGACATAGAGCGCTTGTTCCGGAGAGGCTCCTTTATTCAGCAGAAACTTCCGGTCCATTGGGCTGTTGGGTAAGAAATCTCTACGAAAACGTAAGACGAGGCGGCGGTGGCGGAAGTCAATCGTCTACGGAGAGTCGTCGTTCTATAGCTGATGACGCGCGCGTAGCAAAAATGGGAATAACGCAACCGCAAGCAGGATTTTAGCGCAGTGGTTTGCGCTTGAGCGGTGGTGCGTGGCGTTCTTCATTTTTCAGTAGAAGCAAAATAGGCTCCCCCATCCCCGTTTTTTAATATAACGAAGGAAATCTGAAACCAGATTAGTCACATTTCATTTAAACTGGGATTTCTGTATTTTAGAAAAGAAGTGTGTCCCCCACACAAACGACAGACACAATGGTTGGCAAGCAATTTTGTGTTACGTTTGAGCTCTGAAGGTAGAAGTTGATGGTTTTTATGTAGAAATTTGGCTGGCAATCCAAATCGGACTGATTCTCATTCCAGCTATCGGTATTAACAATTACTATATTACAGAGCTTCATCGTCAGCCTTACTATACTGTATTTAGGAAACAAGCTCTGAATTGACTTTGGCAGGATGTTTTCATCATTTAATATGTTTTATATTTGTTAATATGTAAAATAATCTTAAAAAGATTTAAACGGTAATTTGTAAAAATATCTTCACGTGAATTAAGTATTAAGAAAAAGAAAAGTTAATATCTATGGTATTACAGTACTCTTATTGCTTGCTTGATCAACTTACATACTGAATCACAGTTCTGCTGTGCTCTGTTGGCATAGGAAAGGGAAAATATATTTTGACCAAGTTGTTTCCAATATTGTGATCTCACATTTTATCTGTGACCAGTTCTAAAAAAAGTCCAACCATCAGGGGAGCATGTGTTCATGTTTGGTAATATTTGTTTATATCAATCATTCTTCACATTTTTCTTCCTCCACTGTTAGGGGTAGTATGAAAATAGGTCAACTTTCAAAGCATACTTAAGTATTTATGAGTAGTGAACAATGTGTAATATCTCATTCATGTATTCTAAGCAGTAATTGAACCCCTGAATGAGATTGTACATCCTGATCTGGAACTTAATATGGCTAAAAACAAATGGATTTGTTTCTACATACACAGTACACATAACAATAGTTCTATTTCCTTTTGGGAAAAACAATTTTATTTTATTAAACATTACAACATTAAGTTGTTAAAACAGTAAGCTAAAGAAATTAAGACAAAAGATAAAAAGAAAACAGCAATAAAGTAACAGTTCAGTGGTTCAACACTATTCACTATACCTCTGTTTACCTTTATAGTAGAATGCTACATAATTTTTCCCCAAAATCATTCCTGGTTACTCTATTATCACAATTCCCTAGAGTGAATGTGCAGTTGTTTGGTCTAATAGTTAAGGCACCTGGCAAGAAACCATGACACTGTGAGTTCTAGTCTCACTTTAGGCATGAAAACCAGCTGGGTGACTTTGGGCCAGTCACTCTTTGTCAGCGCAATCTACCACCCAGAATTATTGTTGGAAAAATAGGAGGAAGGAGTGTGAGTTATATTCACTGCCTTGAATTATTTCTAAAAATAACAAAAGTGGGATAAAATAAACAGAAATTATAATTTTTAAATACTTAACAATATTCATTCATCATATAATGACATCAGCTATTGTTTTGGGCATAAATTCTAGCCCTTTCATGTATAATTAATCCTATTTCCTTCTTTGCATTCAATTCTCCACAACAATATCAGGACTTCTGTAATATTCTTGTCTACTGTTTTCACAGATGTATAGCATATCCATTTTTCTTTCTATTTATTAATTAATATTCTTGACTATTTACTTTTCCTAGGTCTCCATCTTTAATATTGCTGGCTTCTCATCAGGTGACCTGATAGATATTGCCTTCTGTTACCCATCATGTTTTGGTCAATTAGAGCTTCAGCATAATGTTTTTCAATAAGAGAAAATGTAGATTTGTTACCAACCTTAGTTGTATCTGTCCTATGCATAGCATTCCCTGCTAATGTTAAGGACAATAGTAATAGCACTTAGATTATATACCGCTTCACAGTGCTTTACAGACCTCTCTAAGCAGTTTACAGAGTCAGGATATTGCCCCCAACAATCTGAGTCCTCATTTTACTGAGCTTGGAAGATGGAAAGCTGAGTCAACTTTGAACTGGTGAGACTTGAACTGCTGCCAGCCGGCAGTCAGCAGAGGTAGCCTGCAGTACTGCATTCTAACCACTGTGCTACCATGGCTCTTATGCTCATTAGTTTAATACATTTTGGGCAGAATGACCCAAATATAGGAAAAGCCCAAACAAGCAGGCTCACTATTCTTTGCAAGATGGGAACCCTAATCTAGAGGCTATCTTGAAAGCCAACATACTGTTGCTCTCCACCAGTTACATGTACAATTGCACATTCAGAACTTGTTTTATACAATGTATTACATTCTGGCATTGCAGAAATAGGAAAGCTAAATGTTCATTATTAAGAATACTCTAATCTTCAAAATAATTGTTCGCTAATAGATTGTGGCATTATCCTGAAGCTATATAATGGTATACCATTTAGGAACTGAAGATGTTTGACTCCTTAGTTTTTAAGAATTTAAAAGTGTACCCAATAATATTTTCTCAATTTCTTTATAGGAATTACATTAATAAACCAAAAATGAGCAATTTGGAAGAAGCTGAACTACAACTTTCTGAATTAGATTTACTTTCTAGTATGTTTCCTAATGAAGGTGATTTTAAGGTGACTGATCAGTTGGCTTTAGCAGAACTGAAAGATTATGCTGGAAAATGTACTTTAGAAGTGCCATCTTCGAAAATACAATTCATCTTATATTTAGATGTAGAAACTCCTGGTGAAAATAAGGTAATGCACCCTTATGTAAAAAAAAAAAAAAAAAGTTCACAAATTGATTGCTAGTAAAATTTTAACTTTAAAAAACTTCTTTCTAGGTACCATTTTCTTTGTGCTGTGCTTTCCCATTAAAATATCCAACTATTCTTCCAGAAATCACTATAAGGTACATTTTAATACATACAGGATAAGTAGGCTGAAAGATGAAATGCAGTATAATTTTGATAGGATGCTATAATTCTCATATTGGTAAATAGAATGATCTTAGTTACATAATAAAATGTCAAGAAGAGAAATATACTGATAAGTTCATATGATTTGAATAGTATGATATAAATCTAATGGATTTTCTGGAATTGTAATCCTTAATACTAACCATGAAATTCATATATTTAATTAATTTGGTTTTATTAGTAAATGTATATGACTTGGATCCTTGCAATCTTCAGGACCATTTTCTTCAGCATACATTACATTATCTATTCAGGAAAGAATAGATAATTGAAAATTCACCCTCAGTGCTTATCCACTGAAGTTAGGTTGGTTCCTATCTTTTTATCCTTTGAGCGACAGTTGAAGATAGTGCTTTGGCGTAAGGCTTTAGGGGTATATTTGAAAGATAACATCATTTTTAAAAAGAGTTTAATATTCATTCTTTAAATGTTAACCTATATAGAGCTGCTCAAGTAAGCAACATAGAAATAATTGTAAATAAATATTGGTATATTACTGAGATACCGGAATGCAAAAGATGGCAAAAACCATACAACAGTTGAACAGCTGAACAAAAAGCAGGTATATTATTATTATTATTACTGTGGTATATATGTTATACCAGAGTTGCCTTATCAGTGAGAGGGGCAGCATATAAGTTAAAAAACAAATATTATGAGATATACCCCAGTTGTACCTTGACCTATTTTGGACCTTTCTGAACTGAGCCATATTTTCACTATGGCTTTTGACTAATCATTTTATATATTTCTTCCTGTTGTCTGAAGTATGGTGAAATATAGTTAGTTAAGTTTTTGCATGCATTTGAGTTTCAGTTGGCAAAGTACCTTTTAACTAGAGGGCATCTGTGAGCAATTAGGTAATTCTTTACTCTTTGGACATAACATCTTTTGCTGCGTTTGTTACGATTAAATGAATACTTTTGATCTACATCCAACCTATTAACTTTCATCATAAAAACAGTTAAGTATAATTGACAATCAAGTCTTGCTTTATATCAAAACAGTTTTTTTTAAATTTTACTTTATACTCGAAATGATGCCCTTTTTTTAGATCTCCATTATTAAGTCGATCACAGCAAGTTCAGATGAATGCAGATCTCATTACTTACTTGAAGAAACATTGTGCTGGTGATGTTTGCATATTAAATGCAAGAGAATGGGTTAAAGACCATGCTGCCATGTATATCAACAAAGGACCCTTGCCATCTACTGTTGAGAAATCAGATATTCAGAAATCGGAATGTATTCTCACTAGACTCTGGATTTACAGTCATCATATTTATAACAAACAGAAGAGAAAAAGTATAATTGAATGGTCTAAGGAACTCTCTCTTTCTGGATTCAGCATGCCTGGAAAACCAGGCATCATTTGCGTAGAAGGACCACAAGAGATGTGTGAAGAATTTTGGGCAAGGTAATAGTTCCTTGTTCTCTAAGTAACAAAGGCATGGGTTTTTTATTTTGGGTTGATTGACTCAGAAACAATATCTTATATTCATTTGCATTGGAGAGAAGATTCTGTTTAGGAGGTGAAACATTTCCTTACCAAGATAAGAGATTGGATTGGAAAGATTTTTTTCTGTTCAAATTAATGGAGATACCATATTTTTCCGTGTATAAGACAGTTTTTTCCTGCAAACACCCCGTTCAAAAATCAGGTGCGTCTTATACAAGTGCAGGGTCTTATACACGAAAAAATAATGGTAACCTCCGAAGCCCAGGGCATGCCTGTGTGGGTTTTTTACATGACGCTGCCATGCCACTTGGTGCAGGAGGATATCGCTGGCCTGAGAGGCTGCCTGGATGGGGAGAAAGCCGGCACGAGATGCTGCCTGGTGCTGGAGGATCACGCTGCCCCAAGGATGCTGCCAGTCCCACTGAAGCCGCCTTCTATGACCTGTTTTTCACCGGTGCAGCTCGGGCTGAAGCCACAAGAGGCCCCGGGAAGCTGCCTCAGTACAGTGTTTGAGGCCAAGGGGTGGGCGGGACTAAGCCCACAGAGCGCCATCTGATTGGAGGAAGTCGCCTCCCTTGTGTGATGGCATGGTCACTTGTTTTACTGCCATTAAAGATGTGGTTTGTTTAATATTTAAAATGTTGATTTCTGAATTTTTGTTTAGAAAATTGGGGGCCGTCTTATACAAGGGTGTGTTTTATAGATGGAAAAATACGGTATTTCCTTTTTTTATCATTCAATTTGTAAGTCGCCTAACTCAAGGCAGTTATAATAATGCAGAATACAAAAGTAACAGTAAACATAACATTAATTCTAAAATTCTTGGATGCTTTTCCAAAAGCATGGATATTGGGGATTAGAAAACAATTATTAAGGAGTGCATTTCTCAGCCTGGGAGTGGAGACATGTTTCCTTGTATAGATAAAGCTTATGACAGTGGAAATAATAGTTTCTCCTATGAATTTTTTTATCACAGTTAACATCTATTGGTTTCAATGGGAAATCATTACTAGTAACTAACCTATACTTCCTGTGCTTCAATAATTTATAATATTCTCATTGTGTTAGGATAAGAAGATTATCATGGCAGCGAATTTTAATCCGTCACAGAGAAGACATTTCCATAGAAGGGACTGAAGCCAACATGGAGAAGGAAAAGAAGTTTTTGACTTTTGAAGAAAAAATATTTGATGCACATGGTGCTAGAGGGAATCACATGGATTTGGGACAATTGTATCATTTTTTAATTGACAAGAGATGTGGTGAAATATTTCAATTGTATTTTGGAGTTGAAGGACAATAAGTTAAGGTGGGAAAAGCAATAAGGAAAGGATGTAGGTTTTTTTCTTTTTATTTTAATGAAAGAATAGAATTCTAAAAGTTGTATTATTTTATACTTGAAAAATAAATCAATGGAATTGAAATTGGATGCCAGAAAATGTTATTTGCTTTGGTAATTTAAGCACAGCAAAGTTTCTGGATATTTTATCAATACCTCATTACTGTTTCTACTTCAAAAATAGCAAATTCTGTGCTTATATTACTCAGGGATGGAAGAAATGGTTATGTACAGTATCTGACCTTTATTTATTATATTACCTATTCATCATATAGGCCCCCAGTAAAATTAAGCCTTTTGCAAGTTGTATATTAAAAATATTTAGTCCTTTTATAGTATTATATGGATATATAGTTCAGTTTCTTCAGAAATAGCAAATAGTGTCACAGAATTTGATATCGATAATTTTAGTACTCGATCTAGAGAAGTCTTTAATTCCAGACCTTCAAATATATACTCATGTATATGGAATTTTTATTTTACTGTATATTGGATAATCTGGGATGCAATGGCTCAGTGGTTAGAGACGCTTAGCTTGTCATCTGAAAAGCTGACAGTCTGGAGTGCTGCTTGATGGGATGAGTTCTCATTACTTGCCCCAGTTCCTGCCAACCTAGCAGTTTGAAAGCATGCAAATGCGAGTAAATAAATAGGTACCATTTTAGTGGGAAGGCAACAGTTCCATGATCCTCGGCGTAATAGTCATGCTGGTCACATGATCATAGAAGTGTCTTCCAATAACACTGCCTCCCATGGATGAGAAATGGAGATGAGCACCGCTCCCTAGAGGTGGATACTAGTGGACAGGGAAAGTGTCCAAGTACTGTACAAGGTTAATAGCAAAAGGGGAAGTAGCAAAATAGAATTTTCTCATTCAATGGACCATTAGTCGAGCATGTGAGAACTCATCTTGTAGTTAGTTAAGGCTATTGTACTGTAATTAGGCTGCTAAAATCCTGGCTAGAAATGGTAGCATAGCTTTAAAAAAAAAATCTAATAGTGGTCATCAGGATGTACATAAGGCAGCCTTGGTTTGTGATTCAGGGTCTGGTGAGATCCAGATAAATTCAATAAGCTGTGGTTAAGAATTTAGCTTTATGGCAAAATATATAAATACAATGTTTGGTATATTAAATAAACTTGGATTTGGAATTCATAAAATTAATACATCGGAAGTAAAGGTTAATGGAATGTTTTCTACTTTTCCACCATTTAAAGGAACCAAGCAAGGAAGTCCACTTTCACCCTTGCTTTTTAACATCTGTGTGGAACCCTTGGGTTATGGAATTGAACAACATAAGGAGATCTACAGAGTAGTACATAACTCAGTTGAACAAAAAGGGTTTTTATTTGTAGCAGGCATTCTTTATTTCTAAACCTCAGATTACTATTAACCCAGTGATGATGTAAAACATAGATCACTTTAGTAAAATAGCAGGATACTATATTAACTGTTCCAAATTGGAATTGATACCTATTGATGAAAATTTAGTTTCCCAGCTATTTAAGGAACATCTATTCCATATTTGTTTGATACTGCTAAATATCTGGGTATGTGTATATCAAAAAATATAATTCACTTAGTAGCAGGAATTTTGGGAGTTGAAGTCCACGAGTCATAAAAGAGCCGAGGTTGCCTATCCCCGGCCTAGACAATATAGGAGAGTGCTATAACAAGAGTGTCAATGGAACTCAAAGTATAACTTATAAAAAAAATTAGAATTTATTCAACACTGTTACATTTACATAAAAAGGCTTATCAAAACCAATTACTCTGGAGATATAATAATGTTTCTCTATACAATGTTTTACCCTTAATAAGTTTTGGGAGAAAGTATTGGATTATATAATTGTGTGGCAAAAACAAATATTTTCACATATTCTTTTGTACTACATACCTAGTACTTGGAATTTGATAGCCCGATAACGTAAGTTCTCTGTGACCTTATGGCCAAAACACCCTGAGAGTTCAGCGTTGAAAAGTTAATATATTATCCCTTTTACTAAATGGATTGAAGACCTGATGGCACTTGCCTTTTTTTTTTAAAAACAATCCTCTTTGACAATGTATTTTTATCCCTGTGGGTTTTTTGGGGGGGTGGGGAGGTGTTGCTTCTGTCATAGTTAAAAATATTAAATGAATAAAAAGTTATCTTAAATAAACCTAGGCAAATACCAGTATGTTTCGGCTGCAACTTTTTTTTTAATCTGTAGATAATCATGATCTACACACTTGAAGAACGCCTTTTGAGCTTTCTTATAAAAAGAGCATAAATTCTGTTATCACAACATACTGTGTGACCGCCAAATACAGTAACAGCCCCCTCAGTGTAAAACGTAATTAGTACTGATTGGTGTATAAGCGCATCATCATCATCTTAAAACTGACCATTAATTTAGAATAATTAAGAAAACATCTAGCAAGTATAAACGCAAAAATGCTTTAGTTGGACATCTTTCAGTAAATTCACTAGTTCATCAACTATTCCCTCGCGCGAGTTCTCTCCCCCCATCCCGTTCTCTCCCCTCCCCCATCCCGAACAACATGCCGTATACTCTGCATCCTTCCCTAGGCTGAGGGAGGCGTACTAAAGGGGAGGAGCCTACGGCCTTTGGCGTCCCTTCCGCCATTACCTTTACTTCCTTTTAACCCGGAAACAGCCTTTCCCCCACTTCCTGTCCATGGGACCAACTCTATTCCCCGCCTCTGTTTTCCCTTTCCTTTTTTTTCTCGGTTTCAGACGGCGTTGCAGGCGCTATCATGGGAGGCAAGAACAAGCAGCGAACTAAGGGCAACGTACGGGTAAGCGAGTTGATGTCGCTGGGAGGGAATTCAGTATTTCTGGAGAGAGGCCATGTCGGATTGCCTTTTCATCGCTTTCGAACTTTAAAAGAGAGGCATGGAGGGCAGCTTTGCCTACCTTTTGGCTAAATAAATAAGCAGCTTATTCCGCACTAATATCTAGACACTAGTTTTAAAAGTGTTGCTTTAATTGTCACTGGCAAGGGGGTAATATTTGTTAGTAACTTCTCTAACGAGACTTCGCGGGACCTTCGTTACAACCTCCCTCCTGTAGGGCGAGTCTCCTTTTAAGGAATACAAATGTGTGCCTAAACTTTCAAGAGGGGAAAAGAACCAGTAATATTTCGGTCTCTAAAAAGTACATGCCTCGGAACTGTTTGAAATGTCAAAAAATTAGTTCAGATAACAAATTATTTCCATGTGGTGTTGGCTTTCTTGGTTGTGGACAGTGTTATGTGCACATTTTTAATGCTGTAATAATTTATACTCCTTTCTGTTAGTTTCAAATATTTAGAGTTACATCCTTGTAGTTTGTGAATCTTGCTGTCTCTGGAATGTCTTAATATCATGTCTGAAAATTGTTAAGATAACCTTTATTGTCATTTTTACTACGAGCACACTGGCCCATATTAAAAATGAAATTCTGTTGCCTGCTACCCATACACATACGTACCACACATATACACATGCCATATATATACATGTATATACATACGTACATATATATATACATGCATACATACATTTAGTAGCTATCTTCTCAAAACTTGATGCACTCTTACTGATTACATGTTTTCAGTAGTAGATAACTGTGAATATATCAGGCCTACTGCTTGTTTGTTTTCTGTAAAATTACATCCTAAATATTTAAGAATGAAAACCCTGTAGCATTGTGAAGGCCATCAGAGGTTAGCAGTTCCCATCCTCTTCTATACCCCGCACCTCTAGAATGCTTCTGATATATTCTCGGACCCCTTACAAAAAATTATGCTATATACAATATCCTTTTGAAACTTCTAAACCCAAGCTCTCGCACCCCCAATGGGTGCAAGCACTTCTGGTTGGGAACTGCTGCTGTACAATAACATTTGTTCAAATATGTTTCTGGAATTCATTCTAAGTGCAGAACTCAAGTTAAATAAAAGTGATGAAATTAGGGAAAAAATGGTAGATGAAGATAGGAAGAAGAAATGATGGTTAGGAATTAGAATATCAATTTATAGTGTATTTAACCAATGAGAAGCTCATTCGGAACACCAGACAATTCTGATACGTAGTTAACTTTTTAAATATAGCACTTTCTTTGGGAATCACATATGTGCAATTGCCTTCAGAAGTATGGGAGTTGACAGCATGGGAAAATTTGGTGACAGCATATTAGTAATAATTCAAATGTGAAATTCTCACTAGATGTTAAGTTGTCTTATATTTTGTCAGCTTTCTTAATAAACAACTAATCTGCTGTAACTTAATTCACAAAATTGTCCAATTACTTACTATTTTTAACTTTATTGTAACTTTATTATAAATTAATAATTTTTTAATATTTTGTAAGCTTTAGCTTTTTTTTCTTGGAAAGGTAAAACAGTATTATTTGCTTTAACAATGTAAAGAAGGAATCAAGAAGCAAACCATAAAGTTAGCAATTAGATACATATGCCGCCTTGAGTTTATAAAAATAGTAAAGGTGGGATATAAAAAACTAAAATAAAAATTGCAGCTTCGAACATAATGTTTGTTTAGGATTTTACAATAATTCTCAAACAGCAGTTCTTTTTCTCTCTTTCAAATATAGCCTTCTAGCAGTGGAAGAACAGCTGAACTTCTAGCTAAAGAACAAGGAACTATTCCTGGATTTGTTGGCTTTGGCACCTCTTCAAGTGACCTGGGATACATTCCTGCAATTCAGGGAGCTGAAGAAATAGATACCCTTATAGATGCTGATTTTCGTATGGTGCTAAGAAAACTTTCCAAAAGAGATGTCACAACCAAGTTAAAAGTAGGCTTGTGATATTATATTTAGAGGGTCATTATATATTTATTTAAAGGATTAGTTGTTGCTGTAAAATGATTTTGGTGTTTTGTTTGTTTTTTTCTAATATTTTCCTGCAAGTGTTTGACAAGTCTGCACTAGACCAAAGTGGCTCTCAACTGTAACATTTTTGATGTTATAATTTATTTGTAATTTGTTTTTTTTTAAAAAAATAATTTTTAACATTTATATAAAATGTAACAATAAAATATCAAAAAACAAAAGCAGAAAATTAACAAATGCATACATTGGAAAATAAA